GAGTATGTGGACCCATTTTGCCCATGGAGTTTGATATAACAATTCCTTTTGTTTAATTTCCATCTTCAAATATGTCTTTTTTTCATTGGCTATATAGCATTTTTGGCATTTAATAATGTTTTATCCATATTTCTTGGTACATCAAACATTAATGTCACAGTTTTCTTGTAAATGTGCATCATATCATACTTACGATATTTATATACGTGGAAATGGCATGAAGTTCTATTTAGAAAATAAATACTATGGACCATATTATATATCCTACTATTTTGTGATAGTTTTAGTCGTTTGTGTTATTATTATCCGAATTTAAAGTTGCATAATACATTTTTTTTTTGTCGTCGTTGCATAATACATTTTGTGGGAATAAAATAAAACAAAAATATACTCACCAACTCACATTATAAAACATAAGCTATGACATATATTAATTTTTGGATACCGTTGGATATATCTAATATATACGATGTTTTGGAGTTTTTGTGAAAATGGTAGTGAACTAGTGGTGTTTGCCTTTGTTTTCTTGGACTTCCAGATGCGTTAAACCCCTCATACGATAATTTGGAATTTGGGTTGATAATCAAACCCTCAATTGAGAACGAAAAATACTATTTGAAATCAATCGACAAAATAATTGCAACACCTACAAAATGACAAAACAAAAGGATCAAAACACATGAAAAAGAGAGATGAAAGAAAGACATCTTGAAAAGTTGGGATTTGAAGGGTCGGTCAATCCTTCAGGGGAGGTGGGGGGCAATGTGAGATAATTTTAGATTATAGAAATGATGAAGTTGCCATTATATGTATCTAAGTTGTATTTTTTTCTATGAAAATTATGGAGTTTGAAGAAACTATTTGAATTTGTGTGGGTCTTTAGTGTCCTATTTACGAAACTAATCACTCAAAAAAGTTTTGGAATAATTATGAATCAAATATCAAAGGGCAAGATATGTTTGTCTCTTGTCTAAAGTATAACGACGAGACTTCACCCCTCTTTTTAATTTTTTTGCTTTCCATTATTTGATTCAAAGTTATCTATAAGCAAACAAATAAGTGTAGTACTGTATATGACTCAATTCTTTTTCCTGGCGGCTAGATGTTATAGCTATCATCAGAAAATAAAAAAGTGAAGCAAAACAGCAAATAAAAGGCTAGTCTACATTTCATAGGTTGGTCGAAAAGTATAACAGGATCCTAAACATGATCGATGAAATTATGTCTAGATTATTACTCATATATCAAATGAATCGTATGTTGAAAAGAAAAGAAAAAACACATTGATGATGCTAAATAAACTTAACTTTATGCATGATCATCACAGATACACGAAAATTTTGTTTTTAGTACATCAGCACAACATTTTAAAGGCATCAATACATAAATGCAATAGATATGAACACTTCATCTCTAAATAGTTTTATGTAGTGACAAATTATACACAAATGAAGAACTGATCCGATGATGTCTTCATTGAAAGAGTCATAGAAATAAATATTATATACATAACTAGTTACGGCTATAATAGAGAGACTATAGCACATTGTTATTGATTTGGTTTAGTTTGATAAAGAGAGAGAGAGGGAGACGGAGACAAGACACCAATAATAAAGGCCAAACCCACTACGGGCAGAATCAAGCAAGACTGTTAATATACACACACAATCACGGGGACCCTATGTGTAATCACAAGCCCTAAAGAACAAATCACGAGCTCCACTAATACTTTTCCTATATCTGGTACACTTATGTTCTCTCTCCTTTTTTCTTCTTTGCCTTTTCATATTTGGTAAACTGTGACCCTTACATATGTAAACACTATACATTAATGGGATCATTTGCAAATATTCAACGTCTGTTTTAAATATTTAGGCATAAATATTCGCATCTTAACGTCTGTACACATCGGTTCACCCATACCATCTTAATTAAAACCTATCATGAGCATAATAGTGGAATGACAATATCGTTGAATCAAACAAAAACAAGGAAATAAAAGAAAGCTCTAGAAATAAAAAAAGAAAAAAGAAAAAGAAATATGTGCACTGAAGTTAACTTTCACTAACCTACAACATACATAGGTGTATAAATAGATGTACATTAAATTTTTTTCTCTTTTGTCAACTTTTGCATAGTGATTAACCTTGAAATTACAAGGCTGATGCATTCAGTAAAATAAAAATCACAGAACTGAAATTGAAAAATCAGAGCTGTATTAGTATGACCACTTAATAACAAGAGAAGTTTGGGAGATCTTAAATTTTTATTTCGCTTTTTATAGAAAAGAACCTTTGACAAGATAACATATCATATCGTGGATGGGTTTATTTTCTGCATGACACGTAAAAATAGTTTGTTCCATTAGTGGGAGTCCCGTAGTGACTTGATAAAGTCAACTTCTCCTAAATATTTGTATGACAGATTGACAAGGTTAAACAAAAATAAAAAATGACTGTATTTAGTGGTTTTATTTCCTTTCTTTATATCCTCTAAAACACTTCATTTTCGTCAGACTTACATTATTACATATACTTTCTATGGTGTAAGTTTATAGACTAGCTAGTGGTTTTATGATTATGAATGAGTTAGCAAATTTTTGTGCATGTATAAGTTGCCGTGGAACTAACATGAAAGTAACTCTCTGAATCATATGACCTAACCTTATAATACTTTTTCTTCAATTCTATCAATCTTGTAACTGAATAGTGAATACGAACAACAACACAAAAACGTACAAGATATGAAAATATCCATCATCCATGGGCCTGTCTTATAAACCTTTTATCAAACTATTAAGCCCATTAGTGATATGTGGACATGACTCATGAGTCAGGAGTGAGTGTGCCATTAAACCATTAAACATGACTAGTCTTCAAAGTCCAAAGTCAAAAGTTGTAAACAAGAATGGCTTTTGAATCAATAGCAAAATAAGTTTATATTGGGATTTGGATGTTGCTGGTTATTAATAAGGTGTGTCTACATAAAGGCTGGTCAAATTCTTAATTTTTATTTTTTTAAACCAAAAGTCAATTTCTTAATTAATTAGTATAGTTTGATCAAATGTCTACAATATATATGTGTTGTAACATTTCACAATATTTTGAATACCTTTCATATATATTCTTTTCATTTATGCCAAGCCTAAATGGGTTTGGAACATATGCTGTGTACGGTGTACCACTAGACTACAACCACAAAATCTAACCGGACCTAGAGAATGTAATGAATGAATAAATTAATCTCTCCAAATAGCAAAGCCCTAATTTCTTCATCAGCGAAGAAAATGTGGTCACATGGAAAAGCTGATATAGGTAACAGTAACACTAATGCCTTTGCTGAGAAAACAATATAATTGTAGTCGGTGGGAGTTCAGATCAATTATAGCAAAATATATATAATAATGATGATTGTTTACTATAGAGCTACTGGTAAAACCATGATTAATCACCCACCACCACATGGACGTTGTACCAAAATCTTTTGTTTTTTAAAGCTTTCTTTTTATTGTTATCACTCACCAAAATTCTAAAATTTTCAGAGGTTTTCTCTAGATACTTGTGTATAATCATTTTGAAAATAACAATTAATTAGTATTTGTATCTTCATGTTTATGTTGTTGTTATGAAGAAGTGTGAACTATCTTCGACTTAAAGCAAATAAAATATGATTTAACACAATCTATAATGATTGTGGCTACTCTCTCTGGTTCGGTGGATAATGATAAAAATTTGAGATTTAATTAAGAGATTAAGAGATAGATTAGTCCAAAACGAATGACTGTCTTTACAAAATTGCCTGCATATAATAAGACTTTGTTGCGCGAGCTGTTTTTTCTTCTCCTCTTTTTTTTTTTTTTTCAAGGAAAAACATTTTACAATTAGCTTCAAACTTTTAGATGAATTATTGAAGTTAAGGTTCATTTATATTTGGTTTAGGCTCAAAACCTTTTAAACGCATACTACACTATACCAAGTCATCACAGTTTTTGATAATTGGATGTAGTTTGTTTTCTGCTCATGATGTACTCATTTGGTATTTTTACAGTTTATTGTAGTCTCAGGCCGAATCAACTGTTTCAATTTTCCTAATTAAGATTGTATGATTTCATGTTAACATAAACAAACACACACAATTATCCATGATGGTGTAAATTGTAATAAAACATTATTCTAACGTTCCACGGATTTTTTTTTTTTTCAGTTTGTCTTTCAGCTGTCCACTTTATTTTTATTTTGTCTTTATCCTGCTTTTACTTGAATTTGCCACTACAACTACAACGTTCAATTTCTGTAGTAATAGTTTAAAAAAGGTGTGGGGAAAAATACTTTAATCCAGAGAAGAAAAAAAAGGGCAAAGAGTAAAAGCAAAAAAGAGACACAATCTCCTATTGATTGAATTGATTAACATAAAGTTATATGATATGATCCTTACCAAAAAAAAAAAAGTTATATGATATGATTTTTTCTTTCTTCCTTCCCCCAAATTCACGATAAACTCTTGACTATATTGCCTCATCTAGTTATAAAGAACTAATAAAAGTAACTACAACATCTTGTGTTGTTGTAACATTGAAAAGTCTTAAGAGAAATTTAGTCTATCTAGATTAGGTTAGTGATGAATGATGATCATATATGATATATGGTGTATTAGGATTGATTAGATTCGCTTTCTTATAACTTAAAAATAAAATAAAAACACAGTGGAAGATTTATATAGATTTTTTAAAGTAGAATTAACAACAATCATCTGAAAGATTCTTCCTTTTTACATTATTTAATTAAGCTTTTGAATTCGATTTTGTCCCAATTCAAGAAAAAAAACTTCCGTCGGTTCAACATTATAATAAACATAAAGTCAAAATACGCCAATTAAACAGTGATATCATTTTACACATGTCAACCAGTGATTAGTACACGTGTCATTAAGGTGAAAAGGAAAAAAAGAACCACGAACCTATCAATCCCGTAACCTGAAGAAACCTTTAGAGAGAAAAAAAAAACCGGTAAGACAAGACATCGCACCATGTCCGTTATTGTTAACTTTGGTCCTACAGAGCCAATACAGAGGAGAAGAAGAAGAAGAAGTATCTGATGAAGAAGAGGAAAGAAAGATCAGGGATTTGAGATTAACTTATCTACAGAGCATGCGAGACTTTGAGAAGCTTATCATTAATACCAACAATGGGTTTTAGTTTTTTCACTCCATTCTCCATCACGTGATCGCAAGTTTCAACCTTTTCACTTCTCTTCTCTCTCTCTCTCTTTATCTCTCTTTCTCCTCCGTGTGTCTCGCTTTGTTCCTGTAACTCTCTCGTGAGTGGTGGTTGGTCAATGGCGGTTGATGTGAAGTCTGTGCTTGAGTTTCTCCGGAGAAATGGTTTGACGGAGGCGGAATCTGCTCTCAGAGACGATATTAACGAGAAGAACCAACTTGCTTCTTTCGATTTCGAGAAGTTTCTGTTTCCGATTCCGCCGCCGATTAGAATCACGGCGAGTTCTCGTCCTTCTGATTCTACCGGAGAAGATTCCGGTGGTGGTGATGGGTTTAAGTCTTCTTCTGACGACGAGTTTGTCAGCTTGGACTCCTCTACTTCTGGCTTCTGTTCTTCTTCCGGTGAGTTCTTTTTTCTAAGTTTTTCCGATCTTAATGGAACATTGCAGTGTGAAACCAAACTAGAGATGGTATTTGCTAGATATTGTAAGCTTGGTTCTTGATCTGATGTCAAGAAATATAAGTTCAACATTGATTGATTTAAAAGATTTTGTATAAATGCAGGGTTTGTGAATCCTTATGGAGATGGTTCATCATCTGATGGACAGTCTCAATTTGGGACGGCTCGGACATATCCCGAGTGGAGCGAGTTTTACTTGCATAACGAGACCGAAGATGAAGATGAGTTCATGTCTCCTGCATTTAGAGAATCTGATTTCTTCATCTGTCCTGTTACTGCAGAGGATAAGTTCATCACAGACAACCAATTCGAGAACACGGTTGGTGTCTATGATAAATCATCATCCCAAGGGTCTCAAACTGAAGCTAGTCTTGATTACTTAGATAAGCCTTTTCTTCTTAGCAATTTGGAGGATGATGACTCAAAAGATTTCATTGGTCTGGATGATAAAACTGATGAGCTTGATGGGTTTAGCTGTGAGGAAGATGATACAAAAGGTAATGATGATTTGAAAACCGGTGATCATGAGAATGTAACAGATGAAGAGGTTGGTGTTGTTCCTGAGGTTGAAGATGAATATGAAATATTTGATCTTAGAATCATTCACTGGAAAAACAGGTATGTTCATTTTCATTGGTAACTCTTTAGATATATGATCTCAAAAAGAAAGAAAGATGGGTCTGTAATCGTTTTTTGCTCTTTACAGGACTGGATTCGAAGAGCACAAGGATCTACCTATTGTGATTGACACAGTGATTGGAGGAAGATACTACATTACGGAATACATTGGTTCTGCTGCATTTAGCAAGGTGGTTCAGGCACAGGATCTACACAACGGTGTCGATGTTTGTCTCAAGATTATCAAGAACGACAAAGATTTCTTTGATCAGAGTTTAGACGAGATCAAGCTATTGAAACATGTCAATAAGCATGATCCTGCTGATGAACATCACATCCTGCGGCTCTATGACTACTTCTACCATCAGGTAAGAGGTCTGGAAAGACTGAATTATTTGGTTTCTCTTAAAGAAGTTTCTAATTCTTGAAAAACAAATATGTAACAGGAACATCTGTTTATCGTCTGTGAACTTCTCCGAGCAAACTTGTATGAATTTCAGAAATTCAACCAAGAATCAGGAGGAGAACCATACTTTAACTTGAGCAGACTTCAGGTTTGTTGTTTCCTAGACCTGAAAAAAATGACTAAAACCCGGCTTTTGTGTATCTTAATTGATGTTTTTGTTTCCTCAGGCTATAACCCGTCAGTGTTTGGATGCGCTTGTGTTCCTCCACGGTCTAGGAATCATACATTGTGATCTCAAACCTGAGAATATACTGATAAAGAGTTACAAAAGATGCGCGGTAAAAATCATCGATCTTGGAAGCAGCTGTTTCCGCTCTGACAACTTGTGCTTGTATGTACAATCACGTTCCTATAGAGCTCCTGAAGTGATTCTCGGGCTTCCGTATGACGAAAAGATCGATTTGTGGTCTCTTGGATGTATTTTAGCAGAGCTTTGCTCTGGTGAGGTACTGTCTGGTTTCCATTAAAAGTCTTTTCTATATATGTTTTATCCCACATATTCAAGAAACTAGTAACACAATGGTATCAATGTGGGCATCAGGTTCTGTTTCCAAACGAAGCAGTAGCGATGATATTGGCAAGGATTGTTGCGGTATTAGGTCCTATAGAAACAGAGATGCTAGAGAAAGGTCAAGAGACACATAAATACTTCACCGAAGAGTATGATATCTTCCACTCAAACGAGGTAATATTTCTTGATTAAACCGAAAAGACTTGAAGTAGTATTATTTGCTTGAATGTGACTCATTGTTGTTGTTGTTTTGGTGTGACAGGAGAGCAATGAGATTGAATACATAATAACAGAAGAAACATGCTTGGAAGAACAATTACATGTTAGTGATGAATTGTTCATAGATTTTGTAAGGACTCTACTTGAGATCAATCCATTGAGACGTCCAACAGCTCTTGAGGCACTTAACCACCCTTGGCTCTCTTCTTCTTCTTCTTACGATTGACTTTTCTACTTTTTTTTTTTTCTTTTCTTGGCTTCTTATTGTGTTGTCTTGTTCTTGTTTCTCCTGTTTTCTTTTCATTTTTTGGTTGCTGTAATTCAGTAATTGTGAGATTATGTGTATAGAACTGTTTCACATTGTAAGTAAAATGCTTGTGTTGTGCAATAAAAGAATTTTGATACAAAGTTCTGAGTTGCTGGTTGTTGTTGGGTCTATAGATCAAAACTAAAATTTGGACCATCATTATATAATGTACATTTATATGATGACCAAATATGATACATTATGTTGTTGCCTACTCCTTGTACCAAATACCAATAATAGATTTTAGAGTAGTTGGCACAAAACTCCAATGTAACAATATTGATACCCTCCCATAACCCATAAGCAATACCAATCAAGATACACAAACGAAACAATTGTAAATCGTGTTAACATAGCCAAAATGTCAAAAGTATAAAAAGTGAAAGATGTTATCAAAGACTTTGTTACAGTTTTGAAGGTTGACAAAAAAAATAAAAAGCAAAAAAGAAAAGAAAGATAAATGAAACAAAATATAGAGTTTTTAATATATAAACAGAAATTCCATATTCAATGTTTATTTATGATTACTTAATACTATTTCAAACTTACATTAAAATTTAGATTTTGTGCATCTTAAATAACAAAAGAAAAACATATAAATGGGTAATAAGTTATAAGGATTTTTTTTCCCTTAACATATTTGTATGTGTTTTAATTTTTTGATTTATGGGATATGTAAATCTAGTTTTATTCAATTAATACACATATTAAATTAAAATGATAAATTTGCAAACTTTCCTTTTTCCAATAATGTTTCCATTATAAAAAAATGTAAAAAAGGGAATGAACACAGCACTTTCCCTCTCTTACAAATCTGTCTCTTCTTTAAAACTTCTCCAACCTTCATTTATTCGCGCGTGTCTCCCCACCTCACTAATATATACTGAAACATCGACGTGGTTCTCAATCTCCAAAAACAGCGCGTGGATCGTAATAATCATTTCTCGTCAAAAAAAAAAAAAAAAGGAAATTGACGTTTTGCCTCCTTCACCAAAAAAAAAAGATTGCGTGAGCCATCTTTGCTTTGTCTAAGCTCGATTCGATTTAGTTCTTCCTCCTCTGGGATCGAATCGGGTTCCGATTCATGGCGGAATTGAGTCAAACCGATTTGGTTTACTCTCCTCGTTCGATTCAACTATGGAATGTATTTGTGAACTGGCTCGATTATTTCTACGAGTTCTTTCTTAAGATCCTTGGTGCCGTTGGTCATCATTCACTTCTATCTACCTCTCCTTCCAACAAGGATGGTTTCAAACCTTTGTCTGTCATCGATTTACCGGAGATTACGGCCGAACCACCTCTTTCCGTTGAAATCGCCTCCGCGAGAACCTCTACTGAACGCCAAGTCAGCACCATCCAGAAACTTACGGTATTATGCTCTTTGTTTTTTTTCCTTTTTTTTCCTTTTGATTTATTTAAAATGGCAGTGGTGCTTGAAGAAGCTGTTAGCATTTCCAGAATCTTTTTTAGCTTGTTTGATTTGAATTAGCTTTGTTCAATTTTGATGCATTGTTCATAGATTTAGCAATAACTTGTTTAGTTGCTGCCAGTAGTATGTAAAGTATGGTCCTTTTTGCATCTAGTAGTAGTAGCTATTGGTAGTATTTTGAGAGTGTTGTCTGAAAAAATGTAGGTAGTTCTTGACTTGGATGAGACACTAGTGAGTGCCTATGAGACTTCTAGTCTACCTGCTGCATTACGTAAACAAGCTATTGAAGCTGGCTTGAAATGGTTTGAGCTGGAGTGCGTTTCTTCAACCAAGGTGAGATCTTACTAGCTCTATCAAGTTACTTCACCTTTTTTTTTTGTTGGTTGATATGCAAAATAATTAATCCCACTTTTTTCCTGCCTCAAGGAATGTAATGGGAAGCCTAAAACAAGTTACGTAACAGTGTTTGAGCGTCCAGGATTGCACGAGTTCTTAGAGCAACTCAGCCAATTTGCTAATCTTATTCTTTTTACTGCTGCTCTCGAAGGTCCCCTCTTTTTGAGTTACTTACTCTCTTCTCTGTTTTATCACACTCTCTCTCTGTTCTAAGCGTTTTTAACATGTTTCTCAAAATGTGCAGATTATGCTAGACCTCTTGTGGACAGAATAGACACACAACATGTATTAAACCATCGGCTTTATCGTCCTTCTACAGTCACCACGTAAGTTTTTAGTTTGCACGAATAATACGATTTATCTTTCTTTTCCTTAGATAATGATTGTGAGTGATGAGAGTATTCTCTGCATTTTATCATCAGGCAATATCGAGATCATGTGAAGGATCTGTTATGCGTATCAAAGAATATGTATAGGACTGTTATTGTCGACAACAATCCTTTCTGCTTTCTATTACAACCTTTAAATGGGATTCCATGTGATTCATTTACCGCAGAACAGCCAAATGATACTCAGGTATGTAGATCTCATTTTTTTGGTTCATGTAATACAGAAAAACATGTTATTCATACGTTGGAATCTAATGAGATCTCATTTATGCAAACCAAAAAATAACACATATTGAAGCTACTAGATGTTGTTCTTCCACTACTTAAGCAACTTTCAGAAGAAGAAGATGTAAAACTAGCGCTTTACGATAGATTTCACATGCCTGAATGGTTTGAAAAGCAAGGCATACCACTGTCTTACTGGACATCATCATCACAGGTACATGTATCTACATAGTTGGAAATCTCTCTCATAGCTCACATATATAGAGTGGAAAGTGTTGACAAGTTTGGTTGGTTCTGGTTTGGACCATCCAATTCAACGAATTTTAGGTTTGTCTAGATTGGACATACTGTGACTGTGTGTATTCATGTTTTTATGAGTAAAAAATAAATAAAGATCAAGTCTTATTTCGTCTTGTGTTTGATCAAATCAAATATGATTTACTATTTGTTTTTGTTTCCTATTTGATGGTAACTTGATGTTGGTCTACATGAGCACATGGCCATATAAAAAAAAACTACAATCCACGATCCATCTATTTTCAAATCAGCTCATTGTTTGGCATTGACGTACATATAGGCATATGTAGCCATGTAAAATGTTTGTTACTGGATTTAAGTCTTCTGGTTTTCATTGCATTTGGGTTTTTGTGATTATATAGTATTTGTATTACCTATGTGAATCCATAAGTCACCTAGACTTGGATTGGTAAGTAACACCTAACCTGATAACGTATTTTTCAAAATTTTCTTACTTATGACTTGCCATATAAGATCCTCAGGGACTGAATAGCGAAGAAAACTCCCTTAAAAACCTTAGTTAATAGTTAAGTTAATTTATTTAACACCTTTTAAAAACAAAATACCCCAAAGCACAAAACACCAAAACCCCAAAAACCCTAATTTTAGATTCAAGAAGGCAGTCTTCACGATGATCCCACTTGATTTTCCATCAAAGGAAATCTAATGTGGTCAATAGCGAAGCACAGCTTTCGAGTCTTTAGATGCCTAAACACCCAAACAGTGACAAAATCAGAAGTCTTCATAAGACTATACTTTGTCACAAACTCTTTCCATCCCGAAGTTAAAAAAGGTGCCCTCTTCCATAATTTGAATATCATATGTTGTACTTTCCGATCTGGTCTGTACACCAAAACATTAATCCCCACGCTTGGATTCTCTGACGCTTCTAGGAAAGGAACTATTGACTCTGCCACGAACTGCCTCGGTAACATGAGCCTGCTTTGATTTCCATCCACGTCGCTCAGCTTCAACTGCTTCTTTAGCGGTTTGTTGAATGGCCTCGGCACTTCATCAAATATCTCTGGTGGTTCGGGTTCAGCTCTGTACCATGTTTGAATGAGCCTCTGTTTTTCTTCTGAAAAGCGCTCTTTCTTGTCTATTCTCATCATATTCTGATTTTCAACCTTCTTAGGTTGGTTTGTATCAGCACGTTGGCTTACTTGTAATAATGGAGTCGACTCATCTTCAAACTCAACCTCATCATCTGTATCGTCTTCTTCGGGTGCTTGAGCTTGGCTTATGTGCATCAATATCCTGGCTGCTATGACAACTTCTGCGTCTTTTTCTTTTTGTTTGAAAACCATGATTTCTCTGCGTTCTCCCTATCTTACCTTAAGGAACAGTCAATGTTTTTAAGGTTTTTATATTTTTTCTTCCTTTTTATGATTGCTTAACAAAACATATATTTCCTTATATAATTAGGTTTTCCATTAAAATCGTATTTTTTTTTAATTATCAACAAAGTAAAATTTAATCTTTTATACTTTGAAGAACAAGTTACCTGACCAATAAAAATTTGCCACATAATTTTTTTTTTATAATTCTGATTTTAATAAAAGATTTCTCAAAAATAAAATTGTGAACGTAAGAAAAAAACAAAACAAAACTTCCTCTTAACAATCCCTAAAGTTTCTCCACACTATCACCACGTTTACAAGATCGTAGAAACTATTTCATCCTATTATATAAATTTAACTCACCATGAACTCAAAACTCATTAATTTCTTTGCTCTTGCAAAACTGTTCCATGGAGATTCCCAAATGATTTCATTCCATTGGTGGCATATCCCCAGAAACCAAACCCGTATGATCAAACGTAACATCTATCCCCTCTAGAAAGCTTACTTTTTTATGTCACTATATTCTCATAGAGTTGTCCATCTTATGAATTTAGCTAGGTGCACCACATGGGAGATGACAAAGAGTGAAAGATGTATAATCGAATGCCAAGGAAATGCAAGGTAATCACTAATTCATCTATCTCTTTCCCATTGTGAAATCTTTTAAGCAAATTTTCAGTTTCTATACAAAATCTGAAACACTTTAGTACTCTCTGCTTGGTTTAGGAATTGATTAACCCAAAATTCAATGGCAAATAGCAACGAGCATCACAAATTACGTTCGTATACCATTATAGAGCAAGGTATAGTTTCTTCTCTGTATTCATGCGATTTGTATGTGTATGACCTTTTTCATATGGAAATCCATGTTTTTTAAGTCTTTGCTAATGATTGAGTTTTTATTGTTGAATATGCAAGAAGATGCACATATATATTAAAAAAAATTATGCGAGTTATAATCCTCTCAAGTATATCAATCTGTATGACGTTAAAAAATTTTGTTTCTATTTACAGTACGTTTGCATTATCATGATTAATTTTGTTGTGTCCATGGGTTCTTTCCATTGCATGTTATGGCTTTTTTACTTTTCTATGTTGTCTAACAGGTGAAATAGAAGAAACCGGAATATTATGAATAGCATCTAACCTACTTAGGTGAAGACAAATACACAACCAAGAAACATATATAAAGAACGAGGAATCCGATTGAAGACGAAATAACAATAGAGGATGAAAATAATACCATATAGATATAATATAATAATTTGGGTAAAATACTAGTAAATTAATATTTCAAACTCATGTTCAAAGATATATATCCTCACGACTTCAAATTATGTATGGGATTATCATCTTACATTAGATTTTTACATATTGAAAAAAATATAAACTCTATAAATTACATTTTTTTCAATATAGTAGGTAAAATACACTTTTGGAGATATCAGAGCAAATGATCAATTTGATTGATCTTTCAAGCTACATTATACAATACCTCAAAAGCTTTTCTTTTTTGAAAATGGTGCAAATACTTTTTTAGAGACACACATTTTCTTCTAAGCCAAATCATTCAAAGATGAAACGCATAAGAAGTCGTACTGATTTCATTTTCTCACCCTTCTTATCATACAAAGGCACAGATCGAATCCCCGGTCTTAATTCTGAAACAGGCAAGCATGTTTGTCCCCCAAAATCATCCTTCTCCGACATATCATACTCTCTTACTTCGATCCTAAGTAATGCTAGCTCTGGAACGGTCAGTGGGAAACTGAATTCCTCATCCCAAATTGGATACCAATTGTCTTCGATTATTTTCGTCTTCTTTTTCGCGTTATCTGCTGGTACACCCACTATAAACATCTACAAAGCTCATAAGTCAGCAAATCTAATAAGCTCTTTGAGAAATTTAAAGATTGTTACAAAAAGAGACCTTGTGAAAATTGATATTACCTTAGTGTAGAAATCAGGAGGAGAGTATGCATCAAAGTGAGTGTGACTGAAGTCCATACGCCATCCATCTCCCATATATACTTTCACCTGTTGTAAAAACCGCAGCAAAAAGATAAGACTAATGAAAATTGAAATGTAACTGCATGTTATAAATATATGTAGAGGTTGTTGTTTGCTTGCCTTTAACGTTTCTTTCACAGGGAGTTTCTTCCTTGGGTCAAAGACTTCGTCACGAAACCCTTTCTTCATCAAGAAGTTTGGTTTCTTGACATAGCCACATCCTCCATTGGCTCTAAACATGCCGTGCATCAACCACAGAGATTTCCCATATCCCTATTATCACCAAAATGTTTTATTATTTGTTATACAAAGATTTGTCAAGCATTTTATGTATAAAGGTTATATCCATAGCGAGATGTATAAATTTAAGCCTTTTTGTGTAGTTTGTTACCTGCATGTTGAATGCAATCATTTGCGCTCCATGAGTCCAACCGATAAGCGGTTTGTAGTTTGAGGAGTTAAATCTTGTCCCTTTTGGGTATATCCGAAGCAAATTCCGTTGTGTAAACCTAGAAAACATATAGAGATCAAGTTGCAACCCGAGCATTTAAAGGGTTAGGATGGCATATGAATTAGTATTACCTTACAACATCCTGACTATTGGATGAACAAGTCCTGTCAAGTTCCTGTTCGCTTAAACTCAAACGTCTCACTTTATCAACCACAGCTTTCATCTCTTCTTTCACCGCTCCCTTTGGTTTCCCGGCATGAATTGTGATCAACCGTTTGTATGCCGGTTTCTGATCTTCACTAGCTTCTTCATCTTCTTGATCACTATCACTCTAATTCAAAACACAAAACTATATTATAAAACAACAAACAATGTGTGTGAACTTTTTCTGAAATGAATTAAGTTCCTTTATTGTTTACCTTGCTTTCACAATCTTGGTCAAATAACATACTCTCTAGTGTCTGAACCTCCTCTGTTCTAGGTGTTTCGTCCTCGGACGATGGAGATACATTATTATCCTTCTGTTTAACAATCGGGTTCCTCGATTCAAGATACTCTTTAGGCGGTTTTGTTGAGATGATTATCCGATGAAGCAGTGAAGCAGGAGAAGGAAACTCCTCCAAGCTATCTGATTCAGGGTAATACAACATCTGCCCAAAAATCTGCGTAGCCATCTAAAGAAAGAAAGGAAAATACCGGAAAAAAGATTCATAAAACATCAAGATCAAACTGATTGATTCACAAGACAGATCAATATATGCATTACCTCAGCAACTTTGGCTTGAAGATCAGATGTAAGATGATCCTCTAAAGTGATGATAACCGGATAAGGTGAGCTAGAAAACGCGTAATCTCTTATCGATTTTAAGCATTTGATCAGCGGTACAGGCGTTGTAAGCGTTCTAAAGAATCAAGAAAACGGTGGTTTCTGAAAATCTTTTTTCAATAAAAAAGAAGGAACCAGAAGAAGAACAAGGCTTATTACATATACCATACCTTCCGTGAAGGACATTGATATCTGTTCCAGTAGAGTTAGGCCAAAGATCAAGCTCGATGACTCGTACACCTCTTTGCAAGGCTTTGATGACAGGGACTTCGCTGCAATCGCTGCTTAGTTGATTACCCGTAAGATACGAATTGTGTCCTGTGTATATAAAGTAATGTGACAATGGAGCTGTCATGTCTTGATGCACCTGTTTCAAAAGACACACATATTTGTAAACCAAAGTTTCCATTTTTTAATTGGTGGGCATAGATAAAGGTTTCGCATTTTCAATCTTACGTGAGGTGTAATGGGAGGATTGAGATCGTCGTAAAAGAGGAAATTGAAGAAATCGTCGAGATCAAGGCCGTGACGCGTAAAACGCGTGACGTGGTGTCTCCGTCGTATAACCTCGTCGATCAACTGTTGAGCCTCCGCGACGGTGGTTCCTGTATCACCTTGATGGTCATCGAGGAAAGAACAGAGCTGCTCTGCGCCCATTACGCCAGAGGATCCGTCTCCGTCACTTGAATCCCCGTCGACGCTTCCTCCTCCTCCTCCGCCACCGACGGCGAATTGGCAGAAAGCGTCACGGACGTCGTCGGTAGGTGTGACTTCGTTGATCTTGAACTTACGGTTGAAACATTTGAACATTTTGTAATTGTAACTACCGCTGTCGTTATTATACGACTCTGTTTTCTTCTCCTTCCCCATTGTTAGAAAAAATCGAAAGTTTCAAAATTTTCGATTTTTTGAAATTAGGGTTTGTGTCTTCGAATCCAGGAATGGTTTGGATTGTTCGTGGAATTCGAAGAACTGAGATTTGGGGATTGAGAAGATTGAGGAGAAAGAAGAAGATGAGTTTCCTATAAAAGAGGAGGCTTTGAAGCGGGATCGTTTGTCTCTCTTTTTTAATTTTTTTCCGAACTCCTTTTGAATAATTTGTTTTTTTCCTATTTTTTTATTTTTTTCCTTTTTTTCCTAAAAGCAAAAGTCAATTTCTTTTTTATATTACGTATCATTTTTTTCATTTTCTTAAGGAAGAAAAAGAGATATATATTAAAATTACTAATAAGAGAAATTCTTAATTTTAGTCTTGGTTCTTTAATTTAGTAAAGATCCTTCTTTTTTCTAACACTTTTCATGTGAAATTTTGTATTTAGTCTAAGAATAAGATTTTCATTCTGTTATATGCCCAAAAGTATTACATGACATTACTATGTTTGGATTTTGGAGAGTCTCTTCTTTGTCTTTTCTTCAGTAGTTTATGAATTATGATTCATCATCAGCCTTTTTAGAAGTTATGCATATGTGTGATGTTTATTTATAAAAATTAGTCTAGAAACCATATTCATAATTCGAAATCATGCATACTTCGTCTAGATCACGTCGACTTTGGATCTGACTTATAGAAATTTTCTTCTTCTTTTTTTGTTTCATAAAAAATTGGTGGGTTGAGTTGCCTTGTAGTAAGATTTTGTCTAGGTTATTTGAATGTTTCAGAATATGCAATGCATGTATTCTAGACTGAGAGCGTCAATGACGATTCTTCGGGTGATATCTCGCCTAATTTAGTCTTTTTTTGGTTATGGTAGGTAAATTTAGTTTTGTTCAGTGCTTCCAAACATTTTCATTTGGTCATATGCAAAAAGTATGAGATGCAATTACACTGTGTGAAACTGATATACAATGTAAAGAAAGACTCAACTCGGTTCTGTGACTGAAGCGCCAGCTAAACAAGTGAGAACCACAATAAAACACAAGATGATTCTTCAAGTATTTGTTTGTTTGTTTTTTTTCTTTTTGATTAAAACTTTTTTTACATGTCAGCCTTTTGAGGTTGGGATGTTTTTGAACTGTGTCCATGTAGCCTGATCGTCCCTGAGGTGTAGACACGGAAGCCATTTCTTGAGGAAACTAGTTTGATGCCTTTGTGTGTATTGGATTTGTAGAAAGTGTGGTAGCATCTATGATAGTGCTTAGGCACATGTATTGGTTTGACAAAACATGCCTTTTCGAGTTGCGGAATTGCGTGAAGATGAGAAGGAAGATGGATGACAAATTCTCCAAAGTCATCCGTAACACCTTTTACCCATTTTGATCTCTTTTTGAATCCAGTGTGACACTTGATAGCAACTGTTGCACCTATAAGATTATGCAAACAAAAAGCATTAGCTTTGGACGCAGAGTAGAGAGTGGTAAGGTTCGTGAGCTTCCAACTACAAAACACCTAACTTTTGATGTGGGATTCTAGCAGAGAATACCTGAAACAGGGGTGTTGCAAAGAACAGAACCGGTGATGACTACAGAGGAGAGTTTGTGCTCCCCATAGCCAGCCATCTCTGACATCTCCCTTATACTCCATAACTTGCCTCCAGCTGCAAATGCTCCGTTCAAGAAGAAGAAGAATAACAAGAAGCAACGGAGGATGAAGAAGCTCTCCATGTTTAAAGTATCTTCAATATGATTTGTATTCTTGAAGAATTGATGTGTGTGAAGATGATGGATTTAAGGAGAGCAAAATGGTCAACCGGTCCAACTCCATTCGACTATTCTTTGTTTTAATCTCAATGTGTTATCTCAGCTAACTACACTTTGGGGGGAAAAAGTGTAGTAGTTAGCAGGAAAGGAAGAAACAAGCCTACCATGACACACACACACACACAGAAGACTGATCTCAATTGACTTTTGTGGGTTTGGTCAGTAAGCACTAAGCCACCATTTGGTTAAAGGATTTGTTGACCAAAACCACATTTTCTCACCTTTAAATAGGCCTCCAAATTTTAGCATTTGACATCTTTACGGCCCATTTAGCTTTCCGAGTTCTGACTGGTCGATACAGAGTCCGTACAAGTTCCAACCAAAAAACATCGTTTGGTCCAAAAGGAGAAAGCCTGCTGACTTTCAAATCTTTGCGTTGACTGAGAAAGAAAACAAAAAAGTCAACCAAAACATATTACTCAAATTGATTATCTCCCCTAATATATCTTGTCAATAGATGCACTCAATCAAACTCTTGAGACGTTTTGTTCTTATCTTCTGTTTAAGTGCCAACTTTATGAATTTCTGTATACTAATTATTTCCAAAGACAATGTGAATAGATGAAGTATAAGGTTTAAGATGGTTTCACAGGGAACAGTGAGATAATCTTAACACAGGATCAGATTTTATTTACTGAGAGAGGTAAACAATGCAAGAGAAGGAGTTTTGGTTAGTCTTATTACAACAATTTTGGAATTGGAGGTTGAAGAATTTACAGTTACAGAAAATGTCAAATCAGAGGATATAGAGAGAGGGAGATGGTTCAAGCATCATCTGCATCACTTCCACCAATATGCCTTCCATGGCTACTCACCCAATAGTTGCTCCCATCAGGACCTGATATCTTAAACCTGCGACAACATGTGTTAAAAATCAAACCCGGTGTTCTTGAAACTCAAGTCCTGATATGTTTGGAAATATAACCTTTCAAGAACAGATTTCCCTTCTTTGTACTTCTGATTCTTCTCATGAGCAGTCTCCTGGTAAACAGAACACACAACTTAAAAGTTATAACTAACCCCGAAAATTCGAACAAGGATAGGTTCTTGTGACAACAGTTGATGTCTGTCTAGCTTACATATCTCCAGCCAACGATTGATCCACAAGAGACACAGAAAATGTCAGCCACAGTATGTTTACCAGTCATCATCAGTCTTTCTTCAGTCTCTCCAATTGAAACATTGGCACTAGATCATCATCAGAAAAGCCAGGCCAATTTAACAAGTATTGGATGATCATCATTCATGAGGTGCCTTAGAAACAAGAAACACTTACACCTTATTGAAGAGATAAGCTTTGCCATGCTTGCAGTGAAAAGACTGAGCAACACACAAGAAACAGGTCTTAACTCAAGAAACAACAAATGCAGAATAATCAGGGAAAGCTCAGTAGCAATAGGTGACTAAATCATCAGGTCAAGGAGAGCTCAATGTTCACAGCTATAGTTTGAATTAAACAACCAATGAAATCATTAGCTGCTTAATGGCAAATGTGAACCATAACTTCTACAATGTAGCAACACAAAATTCAAAATTCTGAAAGTGTTTTAAGGTCTCATAAATTACAATTGTGCTCAATACCATGACCAAAGCTTATCAACACACAACCACATCTTTTCTAGAGAATTATCTGATGATCATAAAATTCACTCAAATATGAGAAGCATGCAGAACAACAACAACAACAAAAACAGATTAACCACAAAAAACATAAGAATAATCTCCAGAAGAAAAAGAAAAAGTCAAGAATAGAGAAAAGGGACAAAACCTTGGAGATAATGTCTTCATATGTAGCAAGATGGGTCTTACAGTGTTTGCAGCTATAGATCTTCCCTTCAAGATTCACAACAAACAGCCTCCCCATCTTGAATCAAAATCAAGAACTCAAAATCTGCTTGAACAGAGTTTTCGATCTCAACAAGAAAAATCTTTTTTGTTTAGAAAGAAAACAATCCGAGACAGAGAACAATTCAGACACTTTCCTCTGTATAGACACGAATCAAAACTTGATCGGGTCGAATTTGGTGATGTTATGCAGTTGAGCAAAAAGAAATAATGTATATGGATGGGGAAGGTATAACGTCTTTTCTCAATTATTCACTTTTTTTTTTTAATTTTTCACTTTTTTTTTTTTTTTTTTTTCTCTCTTCTTCTTCAGCCCAGAAAAGTGGAACAACGTGTACTCTTCACCAATTGCGTTTTTCTATATTCATGTATATTTTATTGCTTTCTTACACTTTCTTACACTTTCTTTATACCCTTGTCTATTCATTTCAAGATTTTCTTGTAACTGTAATTCACTTTCATCTCTATATATTTGTGTTGTATAAAAAGTAAACAAATATTTACATGTACTACATGTATAACTAGTCTAGTAGTAATCATGCAAATTGAAACTGCATTTGATAATAATCATTACTTGACAATAGTCTTCTGACTCTTCTCCCTTGTATTATTAATTATCAAGCAAAATATGATATCTTTATTTTTCTTTTTTTTTGGCTACGATAACATATCTTATCTTTACCAACAACACAAAAATCATATATTGTATTGTCTCAAGTATACGACAGACAGAATTGTTTGTTGTAAATAAAAATTCAATACAAGCCATTATTTGGTGATGGTATAATAATTTGATAATCATTAAAAAAAATTGATGTATCTTCGCGGTTATATTAAAAGTATAAACAATGAATGCTTATTAGATATTAATTCCGTGTAAGCCACACTAGCTACCTCTAAGCCTAACAGGGTTGCTCTCACTAGTTACACCATTGGTCTAGGTTCAATCAGAAGGATGGATATGCTATGTATGACTAATGACTTCATCCGATTTTGGTTTGTTTCAAAAGATAGACGAAAAGAATGATATGTATGGTAAGGGGATCCACGTACTCATATGGGAACGATTAATAGATAATTTGTAGGATTTTCTCATTTCACTTGGAAAAGATTATTATTGGCTTGACATATTTGTAGCTAGCATTGTTTTGAAGAATCTTGTCACGAATCAATTGAGATTACTGGTGATGAGTAATGCAAGTATACAACTATAGCTAGTACGTAATAGTGTAATACTATATTATCACATCAAACAAGTATTAAAGAATAACAAGTGATAGTAAACCTTGCAGCGAACAATCAACTCAACGAAGCTGCTATAGCTATACACACAAGATCAACATATATATAGCGGCTTTAAACGATTGATACGATAAACCAGTTGCAACAATACCAAACAACCTCTTTTGTGATACATTATACAGTTTTTAAAAGTATAATTATATTTCAATAGAATAAATAGATAGATAGTCTCATTTCAGAAATTACTTAATTGCTAAAGGAGGCGAGGAAGCTGATGGGGCCTTTGCCGGTAAAGGCCGCCTGAAGACCAAAGATGAGAAATGCGACCATGGCGAGACGAGAGTGCTTTATCTCCGCCAGCTTCAAGGTATCCAACTTCTCAGGGTCAGCCGCAAGTCCCAACGGGTCAAAATACCCACCCGGGTAAATCCTTTTCTCCGGCTCCAGCTCAGCGTTACGTTGGAACTCGATGTACCCGACCACTAACACCTCTATCCATATCAAAGTCGTCAGCGAGAACGGCAATGGTTGTCCCAAATACGACGATCCTTCCACCAATTCCACCTAAGTCGAACCAAACCAGAAATGCATCAATCCAAAACCCAACTTCAACTTCATTACAATAAGAACGACATAGGAATTTTTATATTTGATAAAACCGCATATTAAATCTAGCTAGACTTTTTGGTTTCAAATCTGCATGCATGTTTTGAGAGTTGCATATATATTTATTTTGGCCTGATTTTATTCCACATATTATACTTTTTTCTATATAACAAATTTTGATTAAATTCCAATGAGTGACGGAGGATTGTCCACGTGTAAAATAATGTTAGTGACGAAAAACATGTGTACCTTTCCGGCGTCTTGCCATGCGATCCCAGTGAGAGCCTCGACGGCGATGGCGCCAAGAGTACCAAGCATAGCCCACCTTCCATGGATCAGCTCACATTCTCTGAACCGTTGGATCCCGAAGACTTCAGTGTACGGCTGAAACGGCGTCGGTTGGATCTCCGAGGAGTCTTGAATGACCCCGATGATATCACCAGCCACGTTCTTGGCAAGGTTTTGGTCAAGACCGTCGAAATCGTACTGAAGATACTCAGCCGGTTTACCTAAACCGAAAGGGTCGAACCCACGGTCTCCGATCATCGATCCGTCCAACCATTCAGGCGGGTTTGCACCGGGGAACCAGACTAGTCTGTCTCCGTCGTTTTGGACCTGCTTTGACTTCTTGGGCGGTGGAGCGGGTTTCTTTTTTCCGAAACTAAACCCCCCGATGGCTTGAACCCTCCCGGTTCCAGGTCTAGGATCTTGAATCCGGATCCCAAAGATACCCGAGGCTGCGGCTGCAGTGGTGGTAGCCATATTGAGTTTAATTGGTGTGATACTGGTTAGAGACTGATGATTCCAATGTTATAACATATAGGTTTTTTTTATTTTTAAGGAATAATAATAACGTTATGTTTTATATGTGATGGTAAATGTAAGAAGCCTTATCTCAGCGTTATCTCCTGTGATTGGTCTCTCTCTTTACCCTTTTTTCTTTTTGTGGTGTCGCTACTTTCTAATGACGTTGCCTTCTCTCTTTCGTCCTTTTGGTAGGTGTCTGCATTTAAGGTATTTTCTTTCTTTTGTTTTCTTTTGTTTTTTAGGATTTCTTTTGTCCATTTCACAAATTAGAAAAATATTTTGGTCCCAGTTGAAGTTTTGTCCCCCTTAAAGCCCATTTATAAAAGCCCATTAATCGACTACATTTATAATGGAGACTAGTCCTATACAAACTCTACAGTCTACATAAATATAAGATTTACACCGAAACTTCAAAATGCCTCCTAAACCGTGTTTTTTTTTTTTTTTCGCAATTTTTGTCTAGAGTCCAAAATTATAGAACTTTGGCTTTGGTACATTTAGGCCAATATTTTTGGCTTTGAGTGTGTGTTTAGTTTATCAAATAGAATATCTTAATTTGAGTGATTTTCAAAACATATAGGTTTCGGTTTGCATTTTTCATTTTCATACAATTCAATACGATAAAACTATAGAAGGTAAAACTGACTAACTGGAGCTAAAATGCCTCTCAGCTTTCAAACCGGTGTTTGGTTCGAGTAACATAAACCGAATTGGTGTCTATTTCTTCATATACTTGGTAAGGTTTTGTTTTAGACATCCCCACAGACTAAAAGTTATAAACACGATAGGAGAGAAAGTTAGAGTTTGCAATAGAAAGTTAGAAAGACGATAAGATTATTGAAAAATTCAGTGAAGTTGATGAGGACTTGATGTTTCATACAATTCACAAAAGACTTGATCTTATTCGATTATTAAAAATATTGAGATATAGTATTTGGTTAATGCAAAATATCTAGAATGTAAAGTTAAGATCATGATCTAAAAAGGTTGCTTTACGGTTTCTTTTTATAGATTTTGGTGACGTATAAACAAATCCACGCGGACATATCCCAAACTGTATGTTCTAATGCTTACAAAATTTACAAAACATATTTTAAAACCAAAAATAATACAAACATAAACATACAAACAAAACGGTAAGACAAAAATAAGAAGATGCCTTGGGCTTCTTTTTGCATTGATGAAATTTGGATTATTATTTACAAATCGCCCTAACTAATCTAATGTTAAAGCTAAACAACTGCCAATTCATCTGAGTTGTCTCATAACATTAAAGAAGCATATAGGTTATACAAATCTCCATTCCCTGATCTCTTCCTTCCGCTTTGGATCCTTCTGTTAACCAAATAAACAATTATCAGCAAAAGGGCTCTCAACTTATACGTCCATTGTATCAACTCGCTAATTAATAATACTAGGTCACTAATAAAAACACACTTATAGAAATCAGTCTTATTCAAGAAAAGAATAAGAATATATATACTAGTATACTACGGTCTACGTAAGCAAGAAAATTCAAGAAGAGGATGAGATTAGGATGGATGATGGTTACCTGAAACTTAAAAAGCGAAGGAGTTGATGGGTCAACGCCGAACGAAAGGCAGAAGTAACAAGTTACATTTATACGTCGCTTAGTTTTATATTTGTATTTACATGTTGAAGTATGTGTATACATATATATTTACAAGTATATTTTGATTCGATCCTGAAAAAAATGCGTCTCTACTTGAGTCTCTCTTGTTGTAGGATCTTTTGATATCTCGGGTACACGTTTTTACAAGCCGAAACCTGAAAAAATGGAGATCCATCAAAAACACACTTAAACAAGTTTTCTCGTTGGATATAAAAATAATAACTATAAACGGAAAAGAGGATCGATGGATAAGATTTGTCTCTATGAGTCATGAAGCATGCGTGAGGTGTGACGTGTTATGTCGGATTTTTATAATTATAATATGTTATTATCATTATAAAAAAGAAAGACAAATAAAATTTGGTTACATGCCACACGGTTTCCACACGAGATTCTAACCTATAAAACTTTTTTTTTGGGCAAAACTATATATAAGAAAGTCTAAACTCAACTTCAAAATTTTGTTTTTCTGTTACTTTCATCCAAAAACCTTCTAACCATAAATGGAGTATTTCCTAACCAAACTAGTTGGAAAGACAAGTCTCATCGAGTTTCTAGAATCCCAAAAAGGACCAAATGTGTGAAACTGTGTTTAATGTTCAAACATTGACTCATACATTCACATGCTATCTCTGACCGAGTCTGATTACGATATCTTAGTGTGCAGGGTAAAAAAATCAAAGAATCTATAGTGCATCCTAGATTTGAAAAAAATATATATGATAATAATGCAACTTGGTATTATTGGCCCTATCTTTCAATGTAATCAATCAATCAATATATCGAAATTAAATAGTAAAATAATAAATTTATGTAACGGCGGAATCAACAACGGAAGAAGAAGAAGAAGTGAACTTACAGCTTCAATGTCGATTTTGAAGACGAGAAGCTTTTTTCTTTCTCTACAACTTGTTCGATAAGCAACAACGATGTGACCTATGGCTAAAACCGACGAGCAGAGAAACAGAGCCACTTCCGCCGCTCTGAAGTAGTTTCCTCCGCCGTCTCCGATCTGTGGCTCGCCGAATACAAACGCCGCTTTTAACGAAACGTAGATTAGAGATAAAACTGAGCAGATCATTGTTATTGTCAGATACGGTCCTCTAGACAGTTTTGGTCCATCACAGAGTCCATAAACACCTGTTTGCACGGAAAAAAATCAAACTAAAGGAATGAGTTTTCTATATCTTCAGAAACAGAGCACTTGCTCTGTTTTTATGGGTTTTTGTAAAGTATGAATCTTTTTGTACTCACAGAGTATAACAGCGGATCTAATGATAGAGATCAAGGGAATATCGATGAGGGAGTGACGGAAATCGTAGTTGGTGAGATGAGAAGAGAGATTCGCCGGCGGAGAGAGGCGGTGGAGGAGAGCGGAAGGGAGAAGAGCATCGGCGACGGCGAGGAAGATCGGAGCAGAGACGAGGAGAAAGGAAAGGAACATTGTGAACAAAACGAAGACAGTTTTGATTCCTCTCCATAGAGATGACCAAAGCTTTCTGGTTTTACTAATCTCTTCTTTGCTAAAACCCATCGAATCAATCAGATGTACAGAGAGGATTTGCTTAAGAGAAGCTGGGAGGTGTTTCGCAGACTTTAGAAAGGGTTTTTAAAAGGCGGACGAAACAAAGTGACGATGACGAGGACGATGATGCTTTGATCAATACTAAAGGGATTAATTTATAATAATAATGATTTTTCCACGTTGGACTTTGGAATATTTAGTTCAATATAGAATTATCATTGGATTCATTTGGTACATTTTACCTTTCTATATGATCATAATTATTAAATTTAATATTCTTTCCAAACATAAGTCTCTAGTAATCTTTAATATATGTTTTTTTTTTTATCAATTTTATTTTCTTTTCTATGTAAATCAATTATATTTATTTTTAAAAGATTGGGGGATGAAGCAAAGTTAAATTGTAATTGATCTATCCATAGTTTTTCATAGATAACTACTATATATATTGTTAAAATTTAGTATGATTATTTAGATGAATGTAGGATTTTTTGTTTTTTTGGGTTTAGTATGCTGATTCTATGTCTTTATAATTATACTAAATAATATATGTGTGTCTTATTATTAATAATTATTATTATTATTATAAGAAGAAGACACACATACAAAAAGTTATTAGTTCATTTTGATAAAAAAAAAAAGTTTTAGTACAAATCATTTTTTTTTGGACAAATCATTTTTTTTGGACAAATCATTTTTTTTTGGACAAATCAATTTTTTTTTGTATAATACAAATCATATATACTAGAAGGTCAATGACGCAAAATGAGATGATGGACAATTGATGCTGATCCAATATTGTAGGTTACATTTACATATAAATACTACATGTATATATTGGAAATTTCCTCCTTCTAGTTTATTATTTCTAGAAAACAAAAGAAAAATGTTTCGATAGAAACTTCCTAGTCATGGAGTCCTTTTGACTGGCGGCATATCATCCTAGAGCTGACTATTATGAATTTTGTTGTATAATATATAACGGTAAAACCTAAATATAGCGTGAAGCATTATAAACCAAACTCAATAATTGGAACATTTCGTTTTCTACTATATAATTTCTTTGTTTTTGTTTGTATATACACAATGAAATCGTTTTCTAAAAGTCAAGCCCATAACGCCGAAGGAAATGAACCGAGACTCGTCGAACACAAACAACACATACGGGAATGGAGGAACCGACCGATTTAAGCCATGTGACCACATGCATGCGGATGCGGCCGTTTATTTTATTAACCTTACGTGAATATATATATAGGCGTTATACTTTTATGTTTCTTTTTATACTTTTGTTTCTTTGTGTATCTGATTTTTATCGAATCCAATTTTTTATAACTATTTTATGTTGATTGAGATCTTAAACAGTTTCTCGTCTAATGCTGCTACCAAATCTGAAGATTGGAATGTATTATTTTGAGGTTTTGACTATTGAGCAAAAAAACTTTACGAAATTTCGATAAATAGGATAGCATCTAAGAGCATGTCCAATGCTAAAATTGTAAACAAAATTTCTTAGCATTATTGTAGTAAAAAAAGTACAAGTTTTGAAGTTAAAACTTTTTTGAAAATGAAAATAAATATATGCCTCCAATGGTAGAGTTCTAAATTAAAGTTCTTAAGATTATTTTTGAAAAACTTGTTTTATACAAACTTGATATACAAGAAATGACACAGACCATAGAGTTGGTGTTGTTGGTGATCTCGGCTTGTGGGTGTTGCTCTCGGCTTGTTGGTGTAGAACAGAAACTGAAAGAAGAACAGCAATTCAAAGACAGAAACCAAACAAGAACATAACTCAAAACCAAACTCAAACTCAAACTCAAAGAAGAGCATAACAGAACCTCAAAGAAGAACATATTCAAAGAAGAACAGAACACAAACTCAAACAAGAACAGAACAAGAAGCTGAAGCAAACATTGAAACCGGTTACATTAAACAGAAACTGAAGTAAGAACTCAAAGTACAGAAACTGAATAGATGAACTCTATATCATACCACACACAACCGATTCATAATCAATTTATTAGTTAGCTAAACTCTAACGAGATTTCAAAAAAAAAGCTACGGGGAAACCAAATACATACAACAGTTCACAAGTGAAGAAAATTAAACTAAACAAAATCAAATAACAGATCTTTCTTCCATTCATAATCAATTCACTAATAATGACAGATGATTGAGCTAATAGCAGAAGCATTAATTATCCGTACTAGGAAAGAGATCTATCAACAAAATAAAACGAATGAAGCCATCGTAGCAAACCCAGATTTTTTATCAACAAAATACAAAAAATAATTTTCAAATCCCTAATTGAAAAAACAAACGAAATCAAACGATCGATTCAAAGAATCGTACGGTCGTACCTATCTGTTTCTCGATTCTGTGTTCTTTAGTTTGCCCATCGGCGACGAGAAGAGAGTGAGAGAGATATCGAGAGAGTGATCGTTGTTTCGACAAGAGAACGAGAGAGAGATATGAGTGTTTTTATTTGTTTGCAAGTCTTTCATGGGTTTTTTTTTCCCAAACTCAAGCCAGTCACAATTAAACACGTTTCAATAAGAAACACACACAAAAACTGTTAGCAAGAGACATTTCTTACACTAATTATGATTATTGATTTATTTTTTGGTACTTTATTCCTAAGAAATAGCTTAACATACTTGGGTTGGACATGGTCTAATATTTTTTTTATTTTATTTTCTCCCAAAACTTAGTTCGTTTTTGTTTTCCACCAGAACATTCTAAATCAGGTTTAGTGACTACTATTCTTACCTGGAATGTATAATTATCAAAATGTAGTATATGTGCTAATTGTCTCTTTTGTGTTGTGTAGCAACGGTCAGATTTGCATATCAATAACTAGAGTAGGACCATCCAAATAATGATTTTTTACAACTTTGAAAAGAAATACGGCTAAGCTGAAAGTCAAGTCAAGACATTTTAGCCACCAAAAATTATATGCACTCTACACTTATTAAAAAGCTTTTTCCATTATTTATTATGCGCCACCAGATTAGTGGCACAATTAGAAACCTCAACAGAATAAAAAAGAATAGACTTTAAAATAACTAGAAAATAAACTGTTCTAATCAAATAATATATGTTGGCAAATCTGATTATTACATATTTTTGCTTAGAACTGTTATATTAGAATTATATGCCCAACATAATACATTTTTCTGAACTAAAGACGGAAACAAGCGCATTTAGTAAAATCATCTGGATATGTTTTACAAACACTCGGTTATAATTAGACCCATTACAAGCCCACTAATGGAAGCCCGAACCAATTGACGCAAATTTAGCGCTGTCGGAATTTGTTTTCGCTCGTTCGCCTTCTAGTTCTCCATCCTCCGATCTGCTGGGGCGTCACGTGCTTCATCAATGGCGGCACGATCCCTGTGGAGAACCCGCACAAAGCTCCTCGTCGTCGGTACCGCCTTATGCGGTGGTTCTGGCGCCGCCTTCGTTGCTACCTCCGAAGACCCATCAACCACGCTCAAGCTTTGCACCTCCATCCCCGTCCGTCTCTACCGTAATACCGTAACCGCCGCCTCTATAGCTTTCGGTACGGCCAATAGAAAAAACCCCATAAAAGGATAATACTTTACATGGTTTGTTTTGCTGCAGTGCCTAAATATCACTTTTAAAAAAAAAAATTGATTTTGATCTGTGCTTTTGATTAATTTGGTAGTGAGATTGGCTGGCACGAATTGTGTTGGAAAGCTTTAGGCATGTAGAAGCAAACGTTAATTACATTTAGTTACGTTTTGTCTATGGCGTTTGGTTGATATTTCCATGTGATCAGTCGATCTCTTAATTGTTTTCAATTCCTGACAATTGGGATTGCAATTGTTGTCTTAATTTATATGACTTATAGCCATTTTCTTGCTTAGATGCGTTTGCGACTACTTAAGAATTAACGATATTTTGTTGTTTGTGTTGTGTTAGATTATGAGTACTCATTGTTGGGGTTGGCTGAGGGAAGCAATGAGAGGGCTAAGGTCAAACATGAAGTCCACCTGAGGTCAGCTCAAAAGCTTCAAGAGCTTTGTTTTAAAAATGGAGGAATCTATATCAAGCTTGGCCAGCATATAGGACAACTAGTATGTAAAGCTAATCTTCTTTCTGTGCCATTGAATGTCTGAACTCCGAAGTTAAGAAATTAATATGTTCATGTTAAGAAAACCAATGGGTGTTAACAGTTTCTTGTTTCAAGGAATATCTTGTGCCCGAAGAGTATGTCCGTACTATGAGGGAGTCCATGTTGAACAAATGCCCTGTTTCTTCTTATGAGCAAGTATGTGAGGTTTTCAAGAAAGAGATTGGAGAGATGCCAGACAAAGTATGTGCTTTTTTATAGTCCTATCTTCATGTATCTAACCAGAGTCTTAACACTTTAGTTACGACTATCTCTATTGGCTTTTCAATTTGGCTGTCGTATTTGATCTGCAGGTATTTGCTGAGTTTGACCCTGTTCCAATTGCAAGTGCTTCCCTTGCTCAAGTTCATGTTGCTCGCACCCATGATGGAAAGAAAGTTGCTGTCAAGGTACATTTGTTTTTACTTTTACTATATATGATGCGGAAGGACAAGTTTTTATAAATACTAAATCAAAGATGTGGACTTATTGAGAGTAAGCTTGTATTTATTCTATTATGCTTTTGAATATTTTTCTGCAGGTTCAACATGCGCACATGACAGACACGGCAGCTGCGGACACTGCGGCTGTGGGAATATTAGTGAATACCTTGCACCGGATATTCCCATCATTTGACTACAGGTGCAGCCACTTTCTAATTTCTGTACACAATTCATATAGTGTGAGCCTCTTGCAACTAGCTTATACTGGCTCATGTATGCAGGTGGTTGTTAGACGAAATGAGTGAAAGCTTACCAAAGGTTGGTGTCTTTAGTTGAATCACAAGTCATAGCGTATATAGTTTTCTTTAAAAGGTTTATAGAGTTAAATATGTTTATCTGAATATTATATTCATCTTCGGCTAACTACTTTCATCTTTTTTCAATAATATCTGAGGACTTTCATTATTGATCAATGTATTTGTCACCGTTAATGGTTTCTATTTCGAATCATTTTCGTATAGTCGTCATTGAGTTTTTGCTGTCACTGGTTTGATAATTTAATTGGTCTATTTTTATTAATGTAATTTTCATCAGGAACTAGATTTTATGGTTGAGGCAAAAAACAGTGAGAAATGTCTGGATAATTTTAGGAAGCTGTCTCCCCATATTGCAGAGTATGTTTATGCGCCAACAATCTATTGGAATTTGAGTACCTCTAAGTTGTTGACAATGGAGTTCATGGAAGGTGCTCAAGTGAATGATGTAGCTAAGATCAGAAAGCTTGGGATGCAGCCCTATGAAGTATCAAAGCTAGTAAGCTGTTTTATCTTTGATCCTTAAGATATCAAGCATTTTTTAATTCATTTTAATAGTACCCAATTGAAAAGAAAATAGTAATTGCCTTTCAAGTAAGAGTTTGGTGATTCCATAGCTTTGTAATAACTTGTAAACTACTATGAAGAAACAAACTTTGAGATGCTTTAAACTCTTTTGTTTTGCAGGTGAGTCAAGCTTTTGCAGAAATGATGTTTAAACATGGGTTTGTGCATTGTGACCCACACGCTGCCAATTTGATTGTTCGTCCAGATCCTTCTGGTAAAAGGAACATATATGGCAAGAGAAAACCACAATTAGTGCTTCTTGACCATGGCTTGTACAAGGAGCTTGACTTCAACACAAGATTCCACTATGCTTCACTGTGGAAAGCATTGGTTTTCTCAGATGCAAAAGCCATTAAAGAACATAGCACGAAATTAGGCGCTGGAGATGATCTCTATGTGCTATTCGCTGGAATTCTTACAATGAGACCATGGAAGCAAGTCATTGACACATCTGTGGATCATTTAGTCATCCAGGGCAGCAAAGAAGATGTATCAGAGCTGCAGATGTATGCATCACAGTACTTCTCCGAAATCTCAGAGCTTCTCAGGAGATTGCCACGGGTGATCCTTCTGATGCTGAAAACAAACGACTGTCTCAGGTCGGTTAACAATGAACTGATGCAAGGATCGTCGCTGGAGTCGTTCTTGATCATAGGGAAAGTATCTTCCCAAGCGGTTTTAGAGGCAAAGAGGTCTGAAAAGAAATCGTTGATGAAATGGCTGAAGGTATGGCTTGAAGGATTCTCTGTTGAAGCAAGGCTTTGGGTAATGCAATTTGCACTTTGGGTCTTACAAGTCAGAAAATCATTAACCCTATAATATAAGATGTCACAAATTGATTAAAACGTTGCAGCCAATTTATATTTTACACACCTCTTATTCTTTGGTAAATGGGTTTCAAGGTTAAGATTTATCATTCTTTGTATACACAGGCTGTTCTGTACCAATAAATCAACTTTTATACACTATATGAGATTTGTGTTATTTGTATACTGGAAGAACAAATTACTTATATAAATCCTTATTATCTTCTTGCTTTTCGTCAATTTAACCATGTAATAGAGAACCTTATTATAAAATTTGACCCGTAATCAAATCAAATTGAACCGAGATAGTACGGATTGGTTCGGTTAAATCGAGAAAACCTTAATTATGCAGTGGCCATCATCATCTACTCTGTTCTGTCTTTTCGATTTCGACAACACTCGAGTTTGTGTCTTTTTCTCAGCCGCGACTCCTCTCTGTCTCCGCGACTCCTCTCTGTCTCCACGGCTCTATAACCTCCCTCCCGATCAAGAGTTACATTTTCTCCGGTAAAGTCTCAACCTTTCTCCGTCTATCAGTTCAGTTTGTGTGTGGTTTCGAAATCCCAGATAGAAATTGAGTGCCTTTCGAAATCGCAGAAGCACATTGTTAAGATTCGATTGATGGGTCTCTTGGGTTTATGATATGTAATCGATTTCTCTTGATTTGATATATACATATGGTCGAAAGAAGCTGTGATTTTTGATATTTGGGGGTTTCTCAGTTTTTTTTTGTTTGAAAAGCTTACAGACACATTTGTTTGAATTAGTCTTTTATTTTTGTAGATGGAAGAGAGTGATGCTGTTCCAAAACCAGTTGTTGTCGACCCTCCATTGTACGACGAAGCTCCTCCATCGACTACTCAGCGCCGGCTGGTGGTGAACGCCGCCGATGTGGCTCCCCCGGGAGAAAATCATCTCATTCAGCGGATTCAAAGAGCTCTTGTGGAACTGCGTGAGTTGAGAAATCAGTTTAATGCCATTCTTAGAGAATTAGAAATCGAAGGTGCGTGTGTTGTTGCTCTTCTCTATCTTCATTGTATTTTCTTTGTTTTAAACAAAAATAAAATAAAATAAACAGTTTTGATGATAATGCAGTGGGAGAAGAAGAAGAGCAAGCGGAATCATCAGTGGAGGATCCAGAGGACTCTGATTCTTAGTTTTTTTTTTCTTTCTCTCTTGTCTAAAGAATTCTTAGTTTGTTTATTAGACATGTTTTGGTTACTCATTCCAAGTACCTATTCAATCGTGATTTCTTTGAAGTGAATTAGCTTTGTTACTCTACCCTCGAAGCCACCCATGTCTTAACAGATGAAGAAGTCAAACTGAAAATACAAAGAGAAATTAAACTTTATTTACACGTAAGAAAAAATACATTCCACGGAACATGCTATGTTGTTGTCTCTCTTAAATATTTTCCCTTGGCAATGGTTCTTGCAAGTATCACATAATGGCCGAGAAAGATTACAGTTGCGAAGAGTTTGAACCTTCCTCCCCCTTCGATAGAAATTTTGACCAGGCTTCATATATGGGTTTACACCAATTAAGCATTGAATATGAAAAATGGTGTAGCACTCTTTGCACCAGTAAAACACTTTCGTGTTCGTATCTTTTAAATTACATTCGCACACCTCACACCAATCTTTCTCACATACTTCACGATATGACAACGTGAGAAAATGTGAGTCATACTTATATCTTGCTTTGTATGGTAAGGTAACACACTTGAAACATACAATAAAATCGCATTTGATGCAATTTAATTGTCTTCGACATTCTGTTTCGCATACATGACATATAACTTTTACTTCTTGCTCTAAAGCTAGGAACAAAGGATCCTCATGACTGTTGTAATCAAACGGCTCAGAAATTGAAGCACACCTTACATCTAGATAGAAAGAGCATTCCTCTATGCGACACTCATAGACAAAGCCACCACATTCATAACCACAAGCATTGCATGTGAAATGACCGAACTTATATTCACTAGAATCCTCCAATTTAAGTGGATGAGGATGTAATGCATGTTGAATTATACGGGGAGTCTTAGCGCATTTTTCATGGAGAATGAACTCACACTCCATACAAGAATAGAAGTTACCTTCATAGATAGGAAGGACACACGCTTGACAAAAGTTATTTTCTTCATAAAATATATTTACCATGAGTCTGAGATGATGGTCATGAAGAAAATAAAGTATCACTCCTTCAGATATCATCTCGAACGGCATGGCATCTTGTGTAATATCATCTTCTTCTGGTACACCTTCGAGTTCTTTTCCATCCCACACACCCTTCCCAGTAGCACATATTGGATGAACAACATAAGCACTACACTTGTCACAAGTATATGCACCATAATCAATGTTAATACTTTGACGACAAACTCCACAAGACCACCATGTTTTGGATGGAAGAGAAAGAGTGAAGGAGATACGATGGTTGTGACGTGATATTTTGATGATGTGTGGGTGATTCATACAATCATTATGAGCCACAAAATTGCATCTGAAACAAACGTAAGTGGGATAATTTTTTCTCAACAAACCACAAACGTTACAAGTTAAGGAGGTTTGTCTCGGGAAAAAGGTGAGAGGATGGACATGGTTTTTAGGTGGGTCTAGAACAAAGGGTATTGATTTCATCGCACAGACTGAATGCATATAAGCCTGACATATGGTACAATGATAAACCAAGGATTTTGCTTTTCTTCCACAACATAAACACTCAACATCGCGAGCTTCACACGGATGAAAAGAAAGTTGAAGAATATGGTCAGAATGGTAAGGGTGTTTGATTTTAAGAGGAGACTGGACACACTCTCTATGGAATTTTTCATCACAATAGTTACAGAAGTAATAGTCTGTGCTGAAATTTGAGCCTTGGCATATGTCGCATCCACCATTGGCATCAAATTTTTCATTGTTGCACCAAAACAAAGGGACTACATAATGATAATAATTATCATCATGGTCAGTTGTTTTTGGAAAGACGTACTCAGGGGAAGAATTGAGCGTAAATGTGGTTGGATGGAGGAGATACGACAAGTCATCCCATCGCATATTAGGGCATACAAAAAGAGGTTGTAAAGAAAGGTCATCGGAGGAGGTTGGGGACTGTGTTTGGGGTATGGGACAATATTTGGGGTGATGGTATACCAAAACTAGTTTACCATCTTTTTCCACCTCATGAAATCCACCGTTTGATTCCATCTCACTCTCTCTTTGTTTACTATAATTCTATTAGAGGCTTTAATGAAAAAAAGATTGTTATTACAGGATGCCAAGTTGTTAACAATTTTTCACTATAAATACATAAATTTGATTCCAGAAGTGTTCTTCTCTACTTTTGATTATTGTATACTTAACTTGAAAACATGGTGGAATTTATTTCTGTTTTTTTTTTTTTTGCTTTTTAGTGGTGATAATGTTTTTTTACATGCAAATAAAGAATCAAATTTGCTTATGTTTTGAATATAGTTTTCGTCATTTCTGAAATTTGGTGACTTTCAAGATTCTATATTCGTGATCAGTTATCGAGCCTTTATGAACTCAAACAAGAAATACGAAAAGAAAATCTAAGGTTTGAATTGGAAAGTAGAACAACCGAACCAACACCAAATTGCAATTTGCAAACCGTTTCTAAGTTGTAAAGAAGATAGAGAATAAGTAGTGGATCGGTTGTGTAACACTGATGTGGAACTAATTAAGATAAGAAGAAAATCTAAGGTTTCAATGTATTAAGCTATGATGTGGAACTAAAATACGGAAAATATATGGTTTCAGTGTCTCTTACTTACGAAGAAAAGTAAGTGTTGGATTTAGCTAGGTTTGGCCACTTTTTACTTATTCACCTTATCTTGTTCTTACCACAACCTTACATATTTTGAAGTGACGAGACAAACTGTGTCAGTGTTCCTTCTCACTGCTAAAGCTAATTTGTATGGTTGATCTTTGTCCTGTGGTTTGAGTATTTTTTTCTGGATGTTTTGTTTGTGTTTCCTGCGGTTTGAACCAAGGTGTCAAAAGTGGAGTTACCCTTTTGGATAGCTCATGATTTACATTTGAGACAGGCTGTATCCATTAACCTGCCTCCCTGTTTTGACCAAAAGTAAGAGATCTTCCTGCTTTCTTTCTCTGTGTTTATTTAATCTGTGAACATAGTTACAGATAGAACGATTGTAATCCTGGTCTCGACTGCGTTTAAGATGATCAGATACAAGGAGACACTGACAAAAGTATACACTGCAGCTTACATAACATTTTCCATTTGCAAATTATATAACTTTCGGGATGAGAAAATATAAAACAACACAAATTAGGTTCTCCTATTTGCTTATTACGTTTAGAGAAACGAATACATTTTAATAGAAGTGATGCATCAGAAAATGTGACATTTATTGATATTGATTGAAACTAAAACCTAACCATGTGGCCATTCGTGTTTTTGAATGGCTTTTGGCAGATTTGGCTATCGGAATTGGTTCGTTTTGTCGTTATAAGAAAATAAATTATAGAGAGAAGGGTACGTAGGACCAAAAGTGCAATAAAGTTGTGTTCTTTGTTGTAATGGAAGAACAAAGTTAACTGGGAGGAAACGTCGTGATTTCACTGTGGTGCTTTTGAATTTTGATATTGGTAGTGCCCAGGTTCCGGGAACCAAATTCTCTGATCTTGGTACCAAAAAAATATATCTTGCTGATTAGCTAAAGCAAAGTTTCTTAGAGATTCTTGTTGTTTGTTGATTTGTTCTCTAATAAGAATCTAAACACTCTTGTAATGGTTTAACGTCATAAAAAGAAGCTAAACATGGATTTCAGATATTTTTGCATGCTAATAATAAAAATATCTGTAACGAATAAAAGGAAAAACTCTATAAAAAGTGGTTTTACTAGTAGTAACGCTGACTGACCAAATCAAAAGGCAAATTTAGACAAGAAACACATGAGTCATGAGATCATGCGTATTGGGGAATTTGGTTCTTTCCTACACCAACCGTGGCAAGTCGTACACCATATACCTTTTTCATTATTTTATTCATCATAATCCCTTTATAATTCAACTAAAGTGATAAATATCTCAAGATATTTCTACAAATAAAGAGAGAAGAGAATCACAGATCCTTATCTCTCTCTCTCTCTCTCTCTCCCATTTGTTTTTTTAATAAAAATCCAAAGAAAAGTGCATGAAAAGCTCTGTACTTTATTCCTCTCACCCAATCACTTCACGACTTCAATCCAACCTTCTCTCACGCGCGTGTTCTTTAACATCAGATAGATACGTCTACGGTGACACACACACGCTCTTTTTACTCGAGTGGCGATCAGACAGAACCTACGCACCTCCGTGTCCTAATTTTTATCAGAAGATATTTTTTACTATAAATATCTGATTTCTCTCACAATCCGAAAATACAAGATAAAAAAAAAAAAAACACAATTTAATATGAAGAGGAACGGCGATACGAAACGGCGGAGGAACGTGGCGGAGGAAGCAGAGCAAGGAGGAGGAGAAGATCCGGCGATGTGGGAGAATCTTGACCGGAATTTCAGACAAGTGCAATCAGTTTTGGACAGGAACAGGTCACTCATCCAACAGGTCAACGACAATCACCAATCTCGGATGGCTGATAACATGTCCAAGAACGTTGCTTTGATTCAAGAACTCAACGGAAACATCTCCAAAGTTGTCAACATGTATTCCGATCTCAACACTAGTTTTGCCTCTGGGTTTCACGGTGGAAAGAACGGCCACGACGGCGGTGGCGCTGCCGGAACCAGAGCTTGATGATAAATACCGGGATCGTATTGTTTCTTCTTAGTTTTGGACCGGCCGGTTTGAGAATTTTGAATCAGTCTGGTTCAAGCTATGATAATATAAGAAAAGAAAAAAGTTATTATATCTTAGTTTTCATTGCAAATGATTGTCGTTAGAATAATCCGTGGGAGCAAACCCATCTAATTGGGTTATTTTAATTATGGTTTCGAGTCTTTTTCAATGTGTCTCTACTGCAATTTCTCTAATGATAATAATAATAAATTACTTATCTTATCTTTTCTGGTTTGATTCTATTTTGAGACCTTTTCTCATGTGACATCGATATAAATGAGGGCTTCTGGTTAGATTGTTGCAACTTGGAGAAAGTAATTTCGTCACCTAGTGGATGCAATTTGGTATGACATTATGCATTGATGATATTGTTTAAAACTATTGTCTTCTATTGACTTTTCACAAGATAACTCTTTTTATTTGTGTGTGTGTGTCTTAGATAACTCTATGAGTTACTGAGTATCAAAATTTTACACGCTGGGACAACACTCATAGTCCGTAAAAGAGAAAACACAAACTGCAATATCAGTGATCATTAACTAGTCCATCATCATATAAGTAACCAACTTCTACTCTTCCCCCCAATCACTTTTTTGGCTTGGTTTCTCAGTTTTTGGCATAAAGATTAAATCAATGCTCAGATCATCATAAAGTAACAAACTCTCCCTATCTTTCTCTCTATGTGTAAGTGTGTATAAATAGATTATTATGTTTCGATGTGTTTGGAAATCTTGCCAAAACCAAGCGGTTTCTTGTTGGTTTTTATGTTCTGTTTTATTTCCCATAGTGGGTAGAAAAACCAAAACAACAAGGCAAGCATGTTATATGAGTTGTGGTGGACACAAAATGTGTTTGATCAGAAAGATCAAACATCAATGATTGCATTATTGTTGGTCCAACCGAGGATACATTTTCGTTTACTCTTGATGAAGAAAAGGATGGATGAGTTTTACGTATTCCATTTTTCATTAGAAATTAAAATATTAAAGATAAAAAAAAAAGATTATGTGATTATACAATTTTTTAAACTAACTTATATTCAGTTTTAGAAATGCACTAGATAATCAAATCTAGGGATTTTGAATGTTTTTCTTTGGTTTGTTTTGGACATAATACTTCATTTATTACCAAACACTGTACCACCTTGTCTTGACAACTACTAATGGCTATATATACCTTCTCAAAATACTTTGTTTTTAACATGATGGTGTTCATCAGTTATGTGACGGTAGTGGTGAAAATGACTTAGTACTTGCTCTGGACCATATAATTCGTAGGAGCAATATCAGTCTTTTATATTTGTTGTCTTATTGGACCATTGAATTCCGTTTCATCATAGAATTTTCTTTCTTTCCTTTTTTTTTCTCTCAAGAAGAAGATTACCTACAAGGAGGGATAGAGATATATAGAGGACAACCATTTGAATTGTAGGGAAAACAAATGAAGTCGCCGTATTTTCCAAAATGAGCAACATCGACGCTCGAATCGATTGTGGTATAACTATGTGTTCAAAAAACACATTACACATCCAAACCCAATAGTATTATTGTGGAATCTTGAGTTTGTAAGTCTACTAATCAAACTTGTATGGGCTTCTTTGTCTATCTTATTGGATAATTTAAATTTAACCATGTCGTGTGTGCTCATCGAACTTGTCTGCGAACATTTGTTTAATTTATTTAGTCATCAAATTTGTGAGTAATAAGTTGTTTTTTTTTTGGGTAGGGGATAATCGCCACCCCTATGACATAGACATGTTCGATTGTAACTTTTAAAAATTTCTTTGTGATTAAGTTGGTTTTAACAAAGTAATATATTATTATCTGACAAATAAAAAACTTTGAATCAAATAACAAATCCGAGAATCTTACAAATTACAAGTCAGCTGTTTCCCACTTTAAGATATTACAATAATTTATCTTCATACAGAAAGACGAATACGATACTCACAATATAAGTCCAAATGATGTTGCACATAACCACATATGCCACACCATTTTTTTTTTTTTTTTTTTTAACATGTGTAGTATGTATTCTTCTCAATCACTAGGACTCTATATTCCAAAACTGATAGTGATATCAAAATTACTTTCGTTTTGTGGATGTTTAACCGAGTGCATTGACAAATAAAAGACATTTTTAACTATCACAATGCAACTACACTTTCTTTGTATAGCCATGATCTATGATCAGCGTTAGACTCAATCTTTTAGACCTTATAATTTAGACGCCACTACTCTAATAATAAATACATCGAGCCAATTGATATCCAATTGAAGAACAATCCAAACCCACCAACTTTTCAAAATGTCAACCCCTCCCAAAAATACCATTGCCCTGTTAAGCTTAACACAACTATATTTCCTTTTAAGAATATTTTAAAGCTTAAAAATCATTGCTAAACCTTGAGGTTTAGTATGTACCTAATCAGTAGGTAATTAATGACAGATTAAGACGAATCATTTGAGAATAACCCTATTTTCCAATTGAATCGGTTTTAGTAGTTAAGGTGTCATGGTATAACTTTTTCAAATATAATAATAATCAGGATTCAAAGGTCTTTTATTATGTGGTTCAACAAACTGATTATATATAATAATACAAAAACAATCTCAAGATCATACATAGATAGATCGCAATGGTGCAATGATAAAATAATCCATTCAAATAATCTGACAATATAATCTTAAACAACAAACAAAAAACATCGGAATAATCATTGAGTAAAACAGATATATGAATTATAAAAATAGAAGAAGAGCAGAAGAGAACAGAGAATACTGAGAATCCCTTAGGCTTCAAGCGATAGAAACAATTGATAGCACATTAGGTACCAGTCCAGGTGTCATGTCCCGTCACCAAAATAAAAATTATATTGAAAATTTTCTCATCAAACCCCAAAAATATAAACTTTTATTTATTTTTCGTTCTTTGAAAAACTTATGGAAAAGTTTCCAATTTAACCGATCTCAAAGCTTAATAATTACACTCAATGCCACTCGTCTTCACACTTTCTCGCTTCTCTCTCTCCCAATTCCTCCTCAATCTCTTTCTCTCTCCCTCGATCTCCCAAAATCTCTCTCTGTTTAGGTTTTTCTATTTTCTGCTTCTGGGTTTTTTTCTCTGTAAACTGTAGTTGGGCTAGGGTCTTGAGCTCCGTTCCTCGACAATGGCGGTTTCTTTGAGAAAGCTCGTTTCTTCCTTTTATTAAAAAAAAGTTAACTTTCCCCTTTTTTTTTTTGTTCTTCTTCTTCCTTTCTGCTTAGCTTACTTTCAAATGGGAAATTGCTGAAATGTGTTGCAAGTTCAGGTTTTTAAGCTTGTGAAAGTTTCGATTTTTTCGTTTTTGGGGTTCTTCAATTTTAGGACTTTGTTTGTTAAGTTTGTAGAGGACAATAAGTTTAACATTTTTTAGATTTTAGGATAATTTATTTTCCGTTGGGAGTAAATTGGAAGCTAAGTTAGGTTTTTATTTTTAGTCTCTCTTTTGATCTGTAAGTTTGGTGAGCAATGAATCGAAGTTTTAGGGCGAAAGAGTCTCTTTTGCTGGATTCAGCAGAGAGGCAAAGGCAACAGCTTAGGGCTTCTATGATGGCTGAAAAAGATGAAGAGCTCTCTTTGTTTCTTGAGATGAGACGGCGTGAGAAAGAGCAGGATAATCTCCTTCTCAACAATAACCCTGATGAGTTTGAAACTCCATTAGGTATGTTATATGTTTTTTAACTTTTTCTTTCTAATTTTGTGGAATCATGCCTTTGATTTGGTCTAGGATGTTTATTAGTTCTTGATGGGCTTTGATCTGTTTAGGTTCAAAGCATGGAACTTCACCAGTTTTTAACATCTCAAGTGGTGCTCCACCACCTCGGAAGGCAGCTGCTCCTGATGATTTTCTCAATTCTGAAGGCGATAAAAATGACTATGAATGGTAACTTTTTAGTCACTATTTTTCACTACGGTTCATAACTTCAGTATGCGGTGATGGTTTGAATTTCCTTCTTAGCCACCTTAAGTGCAAGCGGTTTAAGCATTCTTTGTGATAGCATAGTTAGTGATTTGCTGATAATCTGTATGTGGTAGTATTGTTGTTAATTGATGTATATTGCCTCGTAGTTTTGCTGCCTTGAATTGTGTTGTTTCTTCACATTCATCATTGTCTATATAAGGGTCTGTGTTTGTGGCCTTACTATTTAAAACCCTTTGTTTGTGAGGTGTGTGAGCCTTTCACTGAATGTTCATCAGGTTTAAAAAATTTCTGCATAAATTGTTCATCATCTTTGGGAATGATGCAGCATATCTGTTATCTCTTTCATATGGTTTCTTGAACAATTTATCATTAACTTCCCTTTGTCTTTTGAAGGCTTCTGACCCCTCCAGGTACTCCTCTGTTTCCATCGCTGGAGATGGAATCACATAGGACTATGATGAGTCAGACTGGTGATTCAAAGACTCGCCCGGCTACATTGACTTCTAGGGTAAGAATGTTATTGCGTAGTGTTTTGACCTCTTTTATCAACTTCTTCACTAGATAAAGAACCAAAGTAGTGCAACCAGTGTTAAAATAAATCTCTGCTGTTATTGTATATATGTTTTGAACCGCCACCACTGGTTAAACCTGCCACATCATTCTGTGACGTTTACATCTCAGGTTTTACACTACTAGTAAATTGCATTGACACTCATTGTTATGTGGAATGTTGCTCTGTATTTTTTTTTGAAGTAGCATAAGGTCAAATATATATCCCTAATCAGATTCTTGCATGTTACACACTAAAATTGAACGTTCAACTGTTCAATTGTTCTATCTTCTTTTCTTTATTGAGAATCATTAGTTCGTTATGGTAACCTATGAATTATCTGTCGTAGCTGGCGAATTCTTCAACAGAGCCTGCTGCAAGGAACCATCTAACATCTAGACAACAAACTTCTTCTCCTGGATTAAGCTCTTCCAGTGGAGCCACTCGAAGACCTTCATCTTCTGGAGGACCTGGGTCAAGACCCGCCACACCCACTGGAAGATCATCAACACTGACAACTAATTCAAAATCCTCAAGGCCTTCAACACCCACTTCGCGAGGCACTGTCTCCTCAACTACTCGACCTTCTTTGACTAACTCTAGGTCCACAGTATCTGCACCAACTAAGCCCACGCCTATGAGTAGGTCAACGAGTTTATCATCTAGGCTCACACCTACTGCATCTAAGCCAACTACTTCAACTGCTAGATCTGCTGGTTCAGTAACTAGATCCATCTCCAGCACCACCACAAAATCTGCTGGTCCTTCAAGGTCCACAACTCCTCTGTCAAGATCTACTGCGAGATCTTCAACACCAACTTCAAGACCCACACTTCCTCTGTCTAAAACCATATCAAGGTCATCTACACCAACTCGCCGTCCAATTTCTTCTGCAAGTGCTGCAACTACTACAGCAAAGCCAACAATATCCCAAATCAAGCCTTCTTCTCCAGCGCCAGCAAAGCCTATGCCAACTCCATCTAAGAACCCTGCTTTATCTCGTGCAGCATCTCCTACAGTGAGGTCAAGACCATGGAAGCCATCAGACATGCCTGGTTTCTCGTTAGAAACTCCTCCAAATCTAAGGACAACATTACCTGAAAGGCCACTTTCAGCAACAAGAGGTAGACCTGGAGCTCCAAGCCCTCGTTCTGGCTCAGTTGAGCCAGGAGGTCCTCCAGGAGGAAGACCAAGAAGGCAATCATGTTCACCATCGAGAGGAAGAGCACCAATGTACTCTAGTGGTAGCTCTGTTCCTGCAGTTAATCGTGGATATTCCAAAGCCAGTGACAATGTTAGTCCGGTGATGATGGGAACAAAAATGGTGGAAAGAGTAATAAACATGCGGAAACTTGCTCCTCCCAGATCAGATGACAAGGGTTCTCCTCATGGTAACTTGTCTGCAAAGTCTTCATCACCAGACAGTGCAGGATTTGGAAGAACGCTCTCCAAGAAGTCACTTGATATGGCAATAAGGCATATGGTATGTATCTCTCTCTCTCTCTCCTCTTTTCCTCAGTGGTGGGAATTGTGATTAACTGATGATCAAACGTTTTGATGAAAACAGGATATACGTAGAACCATTCCAGGGAATCTGAGACCACTAATGACGAACATTCCAGCATCATCAATGTACAGTGTGAGGTCTGGACATACACGTGGTAGACCGATGAATGTTTCAGATTCTTCTCCACTAGCAACAAGCAGCAACGCTAGCTCAGAGATAAGTGTGTGCAACAACAATGGCATTTGTTTAGAGGCAAGTGAAAAGGAAGATGATGCAGGCAGCGAGAGAGGTTGCAGGTCCCCTGCAAGCTTACAAGGGAGATGAAGGAAGAAAGAAAAGAAAAGCCTTTTGTAAAACGTTCACCTTTGAGATTCTCCTTTCTTTATTGTTTGTGAGTTTTTATTATCACACGAGTTTGATGATGATGATATGTGAAGTAGCGTTTTGACGTTTTATGTAAACCTCTCCACTCTCGTCTCTACGTTTTAACCCTAAATGGATGGAACCTTTAACCGATTGATTAGGGATATTGACCATTTCTCAATGATTTCTGATTGAATTTAAAATAAATGAAAATATCATTCCAATATGACATAGTTATGTTAATAATAACAACACGCATGACTCTTACAATCTTTCAGCTGTTTATAACACATAATGAAACGCAAAGACCAAATTCACACCGACGTAAGCAATGAAAAAGAAAACCAAAGAGGGTTTAGGCAGCAGCAACCGCCTCGGTGGGCTTGGTTTCAGCAACATTCTTTGGAGGTGTAGGAGGAGCAGCCGCATCCGATGGAGGTTGAGAAGTGAGCTTTAGGTGAGAAGGTGGGTTGTGTTTGAGCTTCACCAATATTTGTCTCATTCTTGTTAGATCGGTTGGCTTACCAGGCTTTGGACCTTGAATCACAGAGATTGTTGGGTTCTTAGGGTCTTGCTCTTTCTTTCCTCTTCTTTTCTCTATTGTAGGAACCTCTTTAGGAACTAGCTCTGCTATCGCCTTCCAGTAATTCTTGCTGGATTCTGCGTAGAACTTCTCTTGGTTCTCCAGGTACAGCTTTAAGTGTTCAAAGACAAACAAACACGTAAGCTGAAAGTTTAAGCAACACTGTAACAATGCTAAAAAGGTATCAAAGATCACAATTAACTGCATACACGAAAAACTTATAATCTGTTCGGAATGAACGTAGGAAGAAAAATGTCAAAACCGAGACAAATGCATTAAGATAATCAATCAAAGTTGACTAAGACTAAGATGGTCAAAGTTGAAAATCTTAATTTCAACGAGCCATTGGACTTCCATTGACAATTCTCCACAAACCACATGACAACAACAGAGGTTATGACAAAACTACAATCTTTGGCAAAAGAACACACCTTTTCCTTCTCCCTGTTAGCTGCTTTGTTGTTTTGACAAGTAACTTCAATTTTCTTATGGAACTCTTCTTTGTACTGATTTGCTTCCTCGATAATCTGCTTCAACAATTCCTTTTCTCTCTTCTCCTTCTCCTCAAGTTGAATTGCATTTTGTCTACACAAACATATACCATAGCACGGAAAACATCACTCACAAGAACACATTAATCAAGTGCATGTATAACAATAGAAACACATGGGATTTGCATACAATGAGATCAGATCTATACATCCGAATCAACTTAAGGAACAACAGCTTATCGCAGAACATACGAGTTAACCAATAAACTCAAAGCAAAAGCCACGGATCCTGTCAATTTAATCACAGATCCGAGCTAATGAACTGATTACTTCTGAGAACAATGGAAACTATCTAGCAGATAACTTCAATTTACAAAATTGTGAATCAAAATCAGAAATGAAATTCTCAGATTAACAGAGAGATTCGCAGTTTTCTCGACTAAAGGTATACACTTTACCCATTTTTCTTCAGGAAGAAGAAATCAAAAGAAACAAAGATCAAAACTTTCAGTAGATCTAACCTTCTCCATTCTCTAAGAGCAACCCCCTCATCAGATGCCATCTCCGAGGGTGGTGGCAAGATAGGACCGTCGTGTTCACCGTTGGATCCGAAGATGCCGTCTTCACCGTTCGAGTAAGCACCGTAGTCAGAAGACGGCGCTGCAAAGACATCGTCGACGGAGTCATCGACTTGAACTGAGCCTTCGAAGGCTGAGAAAGAGTCGGTGGCGTCAAAAGAGCCTGAGACTGGAACGGACTCAGACGCATCATCGTTGAGTATAACAAAGGAATCTTCTTCAAAGACAGACATCTCTCTCCAACACAAAAGAAGAAGAACAAAAAAAAAAAAAAAAAGCAGAACAGACGAAGAACTCGCGAATCTCTTTGTCTTTACAAGCCTGGAAATGAAAATGGCAAAATCGGTAATAACAGGAGATTTGTGTTTTTTTGTTTTTTTTTGTTTTTTTTTGTATTTTCTTATTGGGCTTGATCTTTCGAGCCCAAAACTTTCCAATCCATCACGAATATTCCGGTTTAGTTATGGTTTAGGTTTCTATTTTCAACCCTATACGATTACAAATTGTTATACTCACGAATATTCACGTAATTTAAAATGTTCCAATTCATAGCTTAATCTACTTAAAATTTGAAACAAACTTGTAATTCAAAGGATCCAGAAATTTTTGTAGAAATTACGAAAACTGTCATGCAAAGGAAAGTTGATACGTTGTTTGCATGTAAAGAATATTACCACTACAAAGAAAGGAATATAATGCATCATGTTTTCACGTTAATCTAGAGTAGAAAAACACTTTAGGAATCAAATTTTCATATATTTGTATAGGAAAATTGTTAATAAATTGATATATTATATCCTCTAGCGATCACCCCAAATATTTTTTAAAGAGCCTTTAACAGAAATACAATAATCGAAAGGCTAAGAGAGAGTGACATGAATTCTAACGGTGGATTTCATGAGGTGGAAGAGGATGGTAAATTACTTTTAGTATACCATCACCCCAAATATTGTCCTTGTCCATATCCCAAACACAGCGTAATTTGTGTGATCGTAAAACCGTTGACTTTTTAAATAAAGCGCAATTTCTCCTTTTACCTCTAGTTTGACTCTTTAAATAAACCGTTGGCTTCGATGATTTAAAAATTAAGAAAAATCTAATACTTGTCAATATTGAGAGATATGGCGGGAAATATTGAAGTGAAGTTTATAAAATATTCAAAGTCAAATTTGAAAGATAAACTTCAAACAAGAAGAAAATGAGATTTGCAAACGCATTGCTCCATAAATAAAATAGTCAATGTCAAACATCACTACAATGCCGCTAGACTTTAAAACTAAACCAGTCACCGAAACCTAAACCTGATTTTAGGACAGACGATCTGCAACTAGAGAACTGCATTTACACATTGTTTTGCAGCTCACATAAATAGTCTTTTTATGATTTAAAATAAACCGCCATTCTCTCCACTCTTTATGTACATCTCAAAACAAAACAGTGGAGACTGCATGGTTAGCTAAATATATAGTTTATGACTGAGTCTGGGGTGGGGATTGAGTCTGAGATGGAGACTGAGACTGAGTCTGAGCCGGGGACTGAGTCTGGGGTGGAGATTGAGTCTGAGATGGAGACTGAGACTGAGTCTGAGCCGGAGATTGAGACTGGGGTGGAGATTGAGTCTGAGACGGAGACTGAGTCTGAGATGGAGCCTGAGTCTGAGATGGAGACTGAGTCTGAGTCTGATTTGGAGACTGAGACTGAGTCTGAGTCTGGAAGTCTTCTTCACTTCCATTACCTATAGACTGAGTCAGAGGCTGAGACTGTTCTTCCCCAGGTGGTGTGGCATCTTGGTTGTTCCTGTCTCTGTTTCCGCTAGGCCGAGGTTTCTTAAAGTACTTGTCAATGAATTCTTCAGCACGGTCGGGGTATTTCGTCATCAAATAGTTATTGAGCGATTTTCTGTATGAAAAGTCTTGTTTGGCCCCATCCGTTGAAACGACAAAGAAGCACCTGGTGTCTGTGAATGTGGTGTGCTTATCAACCTACATTGTAGTTCAACCAAGAATATCACATCAGAGACATGAGGCTAAAGTAAACTTTAGAAGAGAAACTAAATCTCTAAGGGAGCAAGCTGTTTACCGTGATGAAATCAACAGCAGAACCAAGCTTTCTCTCTTTTTCAGGATGGAAGTTCAAAATCTTCTCCAGAACAAACGTCTTATCATCATCAGAAATTGGTTCTCCATCAGGGTACCTTCATTGAAAGAACACAGGTTTAGAAAGTTGAAGCATAAGTATATGGAATGTGAAACAGCGTAAATAATTATACATAGAAGATAGACTGTTCTTTTTGCACAAAAAAAAGAAGAAGATAGACTGTGCTGAAGAACAAGAAAGGTCTACCCGGACATATGCATTATTTTCCTAAGAGTCCTCATGACTGGCTCAACATCTGAGAGAAGCTCTTGCTCTTCAGAGGTGAATGAGTCCAAGCGCTGTTTCGTTGCTGTAAACATGGGAGCCAAATTATCCTCAGATCTAGGTGGCCTAGGAGTATGGTTCCTCTTTCCTCTCCACTCTGCACCACCACCATTGGACCAGCCACCATATGAGCCATCAGATGGAAATTTCTTGGCTGGATTTCCCCACTGGCTTTTCTCTTTTTCATCCTTCTCTCCACTTTTGGTCTCCTTTAAGGAAACCCACGGATTTCCATCATCTTCATTGGTATCCTTGTCTGCTGCAGTGGGACTTGGCTGTCCCCAAGAACCCCAAGCAGCAGCACCTGATTCAGTCTCAGAATTTATTTTGTCCCCGTTACCCCAACCAGCAAGACCTGATTCAGTTTCTGATATCTTTTTGTCCCAAGCACCCCAAGAAGCAGGACCTGACTCAGTTTCAGCTTTCTTTTTGCCCTGAGAACCCCAAGCAGAAGGTTCCGAGTTAGTTTCCATGTTATTTTTGTCGCAAGAACCCCATGCAGCAGCACCTGATTTAGTTTTACCACTGGAACCCCAAGAAGCACCATTTGACTCAGTTTCTGTTTCAGATTTCATATTGCCCTGAGAACCCCAACCAGCAGGTTCCGAGTCAGGTTCCATGTTATTTTTGTCCCAAGGACTCCATGTAGCAGCATCTGATTTAGTTTTGCCACTAGAACCCCAAGCAGCAGCATCTGACTCAGTTTCTGAGCTCTTTTTGTTCCAGGGACCCAAAACACCAGCACCTGAGCCTATGTCAGAATTCCTTTTGTCCCTAGAACCCCAAGCAGCAGCATCTGATTCAGTTTCCGAGTTCTTTTTGTTACTAGAACCCCAAGCATCAGCATCTGTAGAACCCCATGCAGCCGGAGCTGATTCAGTTCCCCAGTTCTTTTTGTTCCAAGGTTTTTCGGAAACAGATTTGAGTCCCCAAACGTCAGAAGTCGGCTCATTAATTTCTGGGACAATAGAATCCATCTGAGCTGGTCTTGTTTCCCAGTTTGGTGTTGTATTTGCATCATCATCCTTGGTCTTTATGCCCCAAGCACCTCCTGAATCTGACTTGGAAGATTCTTGAGCA